AAATATTTTTTTTTCTTAACACAGGTAAAACTATCCCATCACTCCAAGGAAGCTAAAATGTAAAATGTTACATTCAATAACGAGCTGAACTAATCTAATGTGTCACAGAGGAAGTACTCTGAGGAAAGACGCCAAAATTAAACCATATCTCAAACACACAAATGGTGATGTTTTAATGCATGCATCAGTGTTTCCCTTTTAAGCATTTATTTCAATACAGTCTAAAACATTCAGTTTAACCCTTGTGTTCTGTTAAGGATCTTAAAGGTTAGCAATGCACCATTTTCGCATTCAATAAGCTGCTTAGCCCAGTGAAATTATTATTATTATTATCATTATTATTTTTCCACTAGTTAAATCCCACTTAGCAAGCTGTTCATTCATGGGTCTCAATTAGCATGCACATTGTTTCCATTTAACAAAGAATTACATGTGATTAAGATACCGTAGTAATCTATTGCTTAATGTCCATAAAAGGCAAAATAACGTTATTTATTGGTACTTATTCTGTTGACAACCTTTAAGGACATATTTAATTATATTTAATTAAAATTAAAGTTGAATTGCAGACACTAATTTATATAGATTCTGACTGGTTTCTCCCCATCATATATTTTTTTGTATTTCTCTCTGGTTTTAATAGTAAAATATAACATTTTGGAGCAAATATACAGAAAAGCAGTCCAAAACTGGAGGCCAGCATAGCAAATATCTCTACTGCTACAGTGAACTTCCCAGGAGAGCTGACATATGCTGGAATAAAAGCGATCCAGACTGCACAGAATATCAACATGCTGAAGGTGATAAACTTGGCTTCATTGAAATTATCAGGTAGCTTTCGAGCCGGAAAAGCCAGGATGAAGCATAGTGCAGCCAGGAGTCCTATATACCCCAGCACAGCCCAGAACCCTATAGTTGAACCCAAATCACACTCGAGAATAATCCTTTCAGTGGCATGAGCTGCATTTTTGTATGGGAATGGTGGAGCGAGATTTAACCACAGCAAGCAAACTAATGCCTGCAGTAAAGTACAGCTAAGAACACTTGTTCTCTGAAGCAGGTGAGAACACTGAGGAACTGTGTTTGCTGGCCTTCTAGCCTTAAAAGCAATCACCACTGCTGAGGTTTTAGCCAAAATACAGGACATGCACAAAGCAAAGGCAATACCAAAAGATGTGTGTCGCAGCATGCAGGACCACTTGGTGGGCTGGCCTAGGAAGGTCAGAGAACACAGGAAACACAGAGTCAAGGAGAAGAGCAGCAGGAAGCTCAGTTCAGAGTTACTGGCTTTGACAAGAGGTGTGTGACGAAATCGAAAGAAGACGCATGACACCACCAATGTTAAACTTGCACCAAATAATGAGAAAGAGGTGAGGAGGGCCCCCATGGTTTCTTCATAAGATAGGAACTCGATCACCTTTGGAACACACTGGCTGTGATCTTCATTTGGCCAGTACTCCAGTGGACACCGTGAACACTCTGCAGAATCTGAAAGGAAAACATGAAACACTGGAACAGGTTCAAGCTGCTAGTTCCATGACAGAGCTCATAAAACAATGTCTATACTTAATGAATTATACACAGGGTAGTTACTGGAAGTTGTAGATTTCATTCAAATATTACATAGTGATTGACATTTAGGAAGGTTTCTACTCACTACTGGAGTTGCTGATCTCACCAGCAGCACAGGCAACACAGGAGAAACAGCAGATGGGTTTACCTTTAATAACGGCCTGCCGGAAACCTGGCAGACAGCTCTCACTGCAGACAGACTGTGGCCTCTGGAACAACACCAGAACCCAACAGTCAGTTATCCCTGTTTCCTACCAGGTGCAGCTTTGTGATGTTGTGATTGTGACACGTTTAGTCCATCCTCCCCAAAGTGGCATAGCCCACCAAGAGTGAATAAAAGTGAAATGTGAAGCGGAGCATTTTGTCTGCCAAACCTTTTTGAACTTCCAGATTTTGTTTTTTTCCATGGATTTTTGTGCTTCTTATCATGGATAAGTATGATAATCATGTTTATTTATCTAGTAGTGTTTTAGCCTATTGTATTATTTTGTAACTTAACTGGATTCCCTATCATTCGTGTCTGACTTCCTGTTCGTTTCATCTGCTCTGTGCTACTTGATGCAGCATCCATCCACAACAGACTTGAAGTGTACTTTTAGCTAGGGGGCGTGCTGAGCTGGTCTGGGGACGCTTCTAAATTGTGGCCCTTCCTAGAGGGTAGAGTGTCAGTGGCCAGCTCTGGCTGCTGTGATGCTGCCATTTCGCACCATAGATGCTCCCAGTGGAAAAGAGGGGTTACAGTTTGTTACTTATGTAATCCAACTCAATCCATTTCATTTTTTTCTTAGCACTTAATAAGATATAAATAAATGTTCAGTTCTGGCTTTTTGTCAAAGTCAAGTTTTAAGCTTTAAACTTTACACATTAATGTGCATGCAAAATTGGCATGCCAGCAATTTTGATACCTTCCAGATCTCCATGTGACTGTCAGAACAATGCTGAATGGGCTTATATTTAATGATTGTTCAAGAAATAAAAGAATTATGTTTTATTCAGTTTCATGTGAGTTCAACTAAAGTTTATATCATATCACACCTTTTTCTTCATCCATCACAAAACAAAATGCAATTAGCATACTGTACACAAGATTTTACATACCTGCAGGGATTCAGCAGCCCATGTTATGTTTATTCCACTTATGGTAAGCTGCTTTCCATTTTGCTGTGAAGCATTGTAGCTACCTATACCCACAATTACAATATCTCCTGCTTCATTTCTCTGCCAGTTCACCAGCTCATAAACTGCTGCAGGGTCTCCATTTACATCAAAATATACTCTTTCTCCTGACTGAAGAGTGAAATTCACACCTTGGAGATGTTTTACAACCTACCAATAGAAAAAAGTGGCAAATTACTTAAAACATAGGGAATTATTTATTATGTGCAGTACATGAAGATATGACCTATTACCTGTTTTGACTCGAAGTGCTCTTTCCAGATACATGACTGATTTACCACTTCACCATTTTGCCCACAGTTTAACATGTTATGCATGGCATAAGCCACAGCATACACAGCCTTATACACATTGTTAGATATCCGTAGTTGTGACACATCTGTGAAAGGATTGTTAATTTCCTGCAGTCTCTCAGAGCCAGTGCACTGAGTCTCACCATGCAGACTGGATTGAAATTTGCAGCCAAATGTTGCTTCCCAGAACTCTCTCAGCAGATTATTCTGAGGATCCTGGGTTGGGTTAACTTGTAAAAGGAACTCTTGCAGGCCTGTGATCTTTGTCCTTCTAATACTGAAGCCCAGAGTCCCTGTCAGGATGCCAGAGTACCTTTTACTGGCAAAATAACCTGCTGTAACCCAGGATTCACTGCCCACCCACTGCAACCCAGTCAAATTCTGGTTCAGAACTTCCTCTAGAAGAATGTCCATTTCGCTCTGGGCAAGGAAGGCAACTAAAACTCTTGCGCTACCGGTACGGATCACTTGGACCACCCTGGCAATGTGCTCACTGGAGTCAGTCCTTGAGATAGCTTCTGAATATTCAATACAAACCCCCTCCTGGATTGCAGCTGCGATAAATGTTGCCATGCCACTATTCCCATAGTCATTGTCACTTCTAACTGTGCCAACCCATGTCCAGTCAAAGTGTTTTACCAGTTTTGCCAGGGCTCTGCTCTGGTAGTAGTCACTGGGTATGGTTCTGAAGAAAGAGGGGTACTCATTTCTGTTGCTCAGACAAGCACATGTGGCAAAGTGACTGATCTAATTTAAGGAGGTAAACAAAAATATATTAATGACATTTGAATGTTTGGAGAGTAATGTTTAAGAGAAAACACACGGGCAAAATGTAGTTTGGCTTCCCTAAGTTTTGCCCTTTTTAGGCATCAGCCTGCTAGGCAGTTGCCTAAGGTACAACCAGGGGCACCAAAGAGCAGGAAGAAGTATTTTGAAAATTATTTTTGATACTTAGTCTACTTTTATTAATCTGTTTCTGGTGTCCAATAAACTTCATACATTGTTTAAAAAAGAACATGCTGCTCACTAAAAAACCTGACACTGAGAAAAGACTCCAGGCAGACTGCAGGAGGGCTTTCTGCTGGGGGTTTACACGCTTAACATCGTTATCATGCTGACCGCTGCCTGTTCTGTGACCCTGCAGTTTGCTCATACAGGTGTGTAGGAATCCCAAGTAATAATTTACTTTCATCCAAACATCAAACTGAGTGTTAATTTGCCATCAACTCAACTCATGTAGTAGTCAGTCAGTGGGTTAATAAAAGAAAGGCTATAACTATAAACAATAATCTGATTCCTGAAACTAAAGCCATTGATGTCCTGTGCCAGGGAAATCCAGGCATGCTCATTATTTGTATTGGTTATAAGTCTAAATGGTTGCTCTTGGAACAACAGCTGTTAAAAACACCTCACTGCAGTCTGACCCACTGATCCACAAAATAGGTGGGAGCAGACAGTTGTTTGTCTGTTTTTGTGACATTTTGCAAGTAAACACATTTTGAGGTCCGTGAGTGTCTGTCTTCTGTCTAGATTTAAAAACAAGATAAACATTATTTAAATGTTTTAATTGTCATAAACTATTCTAAAAAAAAGATGATACACCTCAGTGCTGCTATACCTATAGGACACCAAAATATTCAGGACTGACCCTGTTTTGACTCATGTGTATGAAAGTGCATGTGTAGAAAGCCTGGCAACCTTAATCCCACACTTTAGTATTAATCACGCTCAGTGCTGAGGTCCGTCAGTGTCTGTCTAGATTTTAAATTAAAAACAAAACAAACAGCTTTAACAGTCGTAATTTTTTTTTTTATCAAAATGAGCATTGTAAAATCAGTCAAAAAGAAAAATAAATATAACTAAACTTTACCACCGGTATTTGGAAAATCCCTGAAACTTGTAGCATCACAATGGTTGAGGAGGACTCGGAGGCTCCTATGATGGCATGAACAGATGACTGGCTTGAGCAGGTTTTTCTCACAGTCCTTTCCTGTCCATTCATTAGACCCATTGCTGCATGTGTCGAAGGCAGCGTTGAACCACAGCTGTCAAAGATCTTATAACCAACTGAAATATTAGGCAATAAATAGCTGCTATTGTTGATCTCCTCAATGGCAAAAATCATTGTTTCGGCAAAACGAAGTTCCCTGAAATTTAACCTGAATGAATGAAGAACAGTTTTCACTAAAGTTTTCAGACTTTATGTAACTCTTTGTGTCTTTAAAAACCAAAAAAAATTAGATAGGAGACAACAAATAGTACCCGGAGCACATGAGAGGCTCTGGAGTATCTCTGAAGGCGAGTGGAGGCTTTGAAATTTGGCTGTGGATGGAGAATGTTCCTCCAATAGTGACATCTCCTTTCTTAGATAACAGTGGAAACTCCGGGCTTCCTAACATCTCACAGAGTGCAGTGTCTTCCTCTGCTCCAGAGGTCCCCATAAAACACACAAACAACAACATTCTATACACACAGTTATTCATCTTGTACAAAGAGGCACACACAAGCCTGTGCTCTGCACTGAGCTCCTCTGTCACTAGTCAAAACATGTGTCCTTAAAGGGGAGAGCTTTATACTGCTGCAGCTGACGATGAGTGAGGCAACCTTATCATATCATGCTGTGATGATGCTGACTGATATTCTGTTGTAAGAACATTTTGTTATAATTACCCTAAGTTGTGACAAGGGTGAAACCCAACATTTAAATATATTTAAGTTGCAAACTGAGAATATCAAAAACTCTATTTTTTTTCCCTTTGTAACAAACACGTTGTACCAAATCTGAACATCATAGATGCAGGTCCCTCGGGTCTGGGTCCATCATAGGCTCAGCAGGATGCTTTTATGTGCCAGACCTTCATTGTCAAAAATTACTTCATTAGATGTAGGCATAAACAGCTGGATTAAATTAGTCAAGCAGAGCTGAGCCTGACATGCCTGATCTGTAATATTCTAATCAAGCACTGTAAAGAAGATAAATACTTTTAATTGTATATTTATTTTTTATCTGGGGTGTAATGAACATTACCACTTTAATTCAAGCCTTGCAATGTTGGGGTGAAACCCTGGAAATTAAATTAGTAAATTATGTCTATTGCAACCCCAATTCCAAAAAAGTCAGGATGTTGTGTAAATTGTGAATAAAAAGTATATGAAACAATATGGAAATGGGATGCTTTGTGTTAAGGGTAGGTTAGGTCTGGAAAATGGTGCTGTTTATGATGGCATGGTCTGACACCCCCATCTTTGGGGCCAAATAATGGGTAGACATCATTTAACACGTATACTGAGCTTCCATATGAATGCGCTCCTATTCTTTGGGACATTTAATTGTGTAATATCAACTGGAGCTTCTTTTGTCATATTTCTCACGGGGACATTTAATTGTGTAATATCAACTGTTTCAGCTGTTCAACAGTTTGGGGCTTCTTTTGTCATATTTCTCACATCATAATGCACCAAATATTTTCAATGGATGACAGGCCAGTTTAGCACCCAGACTCTTTTGCTACAGAGCCATGCTGTTGGGGCGGAGTGTGGTTTGGTATTGTCTTACTGAAATAAACAAGGCCTTCACTGAAAAAGATGTTGTCTGGATGGCAGCACATCTTGTTCCAGAACCTATATATGCCATTCAATATTAATGAAGCCTTCACAGATGTGCAAGTTAATCATACCATGGGCACTAATGCACCCCCAAGCCATCACAGATGCTGGCTTCTGAACTGCATGCTGATAACAAGCTAGATGATCCCTCTCCTCTTTAGCTCCCCAAAAATTACAAATGTTAACTTGTCAGACCAGTGGACAGTTTTCCACCTAGCCCGTAGAAGGTGGTAGCATATATGGATCTTGTTTATATATGGTTATTTGCATGGTAGAGTTGTAAATTGCATTTGTGGATGCAGCGATGAGCCAGGTTCACCGACAATGCTTGTTCATAAGTGTTCCTTTTTACCATGCACTGATTTATAGAACAGAATCATATCTTTTAATGCAGTGTTGCCTGGGGTCCAGAAGATCATGGTCATTCAGTATTAGTTTTCAGCCTTGTCCCGTGTTTACAGAGATTTCTACTGATTCCCTGAATCTTTTAATGTTATTATTTACCATATATGATGAAAAATCCTCAATCTTTGTGATTTTACAATGAGAAACATTTGATTTATAGAACAAAATCATATCTGTTTTAATGCAGTGTTGCCTGGGGTCCAGAAGATCACGGTCATTCGGTATTAGTTTTCAGCCTTGTCCCTTGTTTACAGAGATTTCTACTGATTCCCTGAATCTTTTAATGTTATTATTTACCATATATGATGAAAAATCCTCAATCTTTGTGATTTTACAATGAGAAACATTATTCTTAAGTTGTTGAGCTATTTGCCAAACAGAGTGATGAACCTCACCCCATCGCTTCTCCTTAATGTTCTTTGGGATTCTCTTCTCTATTTTTAAACTCAGTCATCACCACCAAGTTTTTTTTTGTTTATTTGTATTTTAGCATTACACAACTCTCAACTTTTTTGGAAAGTGCTGCTGGCATCAAATTCAGAATAAGCTTATTTAAATCAAATATATTAATTTGAACATTAGATATATTTGTGCTCTTACCAAATGAATAACTGGTAAAAACTGAAAAAAATTATTTGAAAACCACCTTTTATTTACAAGTTACAGAGTGTCCCAACTTTTTTGGAATTGGGGTTCTATAAGACATATTATGCTTGCTTATGACTTGTAGTGATTTGTCATTTGTTCCATCCCTGGACCACTAATGTGACTTTGTGCAAGGCCTTTAACTCCCAACCTACTTTAGTGGTGCTATGCAGCGGCCTGGCTGGACAGGTTTCAGATGTGATTGTGCACATGTAAGTAGCTTTCACATTAGGCAATGGGTAAATCCCAGTTCCCTCAAATGATCATTCCTTGATCCTTGTTTGATGCTCAAAGATGTCCCAGTCCACCAACCTATTCCTGTTCTGAGGAGTGAGGATCAATTCGTCTTTCCTTGCTATTTTTATTCTTTTCCTCATATTTTACATGGGTGTAGCTCAAATGCAAGGAAAAGACACAGGTGAGGGAAATGTGGATTAATTAAGGGAATTGGGATTTACCTAGTGAATCTATACTGTACAAACCCTTATTTTGCTTTTAAAAAATGAATTGGCAGGATAGATTTTACATATTTTTTAAATTATTCATATGAAATAAAACAAAGGTGCAATCCTCAATTTAAGACCACGACCATTGTCTCCCTTCCCAAGAAGAGCCCGGTCACCTGCCTGAACGACTACAGGCCAGTAGCTCTCACCCCAATCATTATGAAGTATTTTGAGAGAGTGGTGCTGGCCCATATCCAGAGTAGTATATCGGACACCCTGGACCCCCTGCAGTATGCCTACCGGCCCAACAGGGCCACCTCAGACGCTATCGTGGCTGCCCTCCACTATTCCCTTTCTCACCTGGAAAATGGAGACTCTTACATCAGGATACTCTTCATTGACTACAGCTCCACCTTCCTTTGGCAATGTCTGTATTACCAGAGGTACCAAAGATTGTAACCTAAAGAGAGAACATGAATGATAGGTTGGATAAGGGATTTGTTTGGCCATGCAAAATAGAACTGGCTATTGGAACCTAGCCATCAACAAATGCTATGTTCAAGTCATGTCAAAAATTAAGCCAAGCCACAAGTTATAAAAAAATACACTATCCTTTTCTTTAAATTGTTATTTAAATTTATTCTGATCATGTTTTCCCCATTAGATGTTTCTTTGTGTTCAGTTCAGGTTTGAGTACAATAATAAAGCATTTCGGCGCAAAGATACAGAAAAGTATCCCATAACTTGAAGCCAGAATAGCAAATATCTCCACAGCCACAGTAAACTTCCCAGGAGAGCTGACATAGGCTGGAATAAAAGTGATCCAGACTGCACAGAATATCAGCATGCTGAAGGTGATCAATTTAGCCTCATTAAAGTTATCAGGCAGCTTTCGACCCAGAAAAGCAAGTACAAAACAGAGGATGGCTAGTAGTCCAATGTATCCTAACACAGCCCAGAACCCCACAGCTGATCCCAGAGCACACTCAAGAATAATCTTCTCCTTATAATGGTTCATATTTTTGAAAGGAAAAGGAGGAGAAATAGTTAACCAGAGGATACATATAACAACCTGGATGAGAGTGAAAGCCAGAACACTGAGTCTCTGCTGTGCAGGCCCAAACCATTTCATCACATTACTGCCTGGAAGTGTAGCCCTGAAGACCATTAACACCACTATAGTTTTCCCCAGAATACAAGCAATACAGAGGACAAAGGTGATGCCGAATGCTGTGTGTCGCAGCATGCAGGACCACTCAGAGGGCCGGCCGATGAAGGTCAGAGAACACAGGAAACACAGAGTCAAGGAGAAGAGCAGCAGGAAGCTCAGCTCAGAGTTGTTGGCCCTGACTAAGGGAGTGTCCTTATTGATCAGGAATAGAGTGGCCACAATTAAGGTGAGGAGCACACCAAACAAAGTGAAAAACACAAATATTATTCCCATAGCCTCAGTGAAGAAGAGGAACTCTACGTTTTTTGCAATGCATGCATCTCTGTTTTGGTTGGGCCAGTACTCTTCTGGACATTTTTTGCATCCATTAGAATCTGTAATCAAAAATTGTTTTAATATTATTGTAATTTAATCTGTTACATCATGAAAATGTAAATAAGAATATGTACCATGGCAAATTTTAACACAATGCACATAGTGTGGCAAACAAAGAATGTGCGCATATTGCCATATTTCAGGTGTCTAGTACTTGTGGTGTTGCTGATTTTTCCTTCTGCACATGGTACACAGTCATAGCAGCAGACAGGTTTTCCTTTTTGAAGGACTTTATGAGTTCCTGGATGACAGCTCTCACTGCACACTGACACAGGCACCTACAAATAAAAGAAACAGACAAATGTTAACTCATTTAAAACAATCATTTAAGGGTGATGAATATTAAACTATATGGGTAAGACAAATCATAGCCTTATATTTTACTGCTGATCAAGTTATTTACCTCTCTGTTTCCTCCAGGCCACATTATGGCTTCAGCATTAAGAACAAACCTCTGTCCTGGAGGCAGGGAGGCATCATAGTACCCAACAGGTTTAAACTGGACTGAACCATGTGATCCACGTTGCCAGTTTACCACCTCATACCGAGCTACAGCAGATCCAGTGCTATCAAACCACACCTGTTCCCCATTCTTAATAGTAAAATTCACCTGCTTCAGAGACTCTACTACCTACAAAGCAGTAAGACAACACAGTGTATTGTGATGTATTGATTTACAAAACTAAAAAATAAAAAGTTAAGTCATTAGGTGATTTTACCTGCCAGGGTATAACCTTCACTGTTTTGTCACACCCCTCACTGTTTGAACATTTTAGGATGCTGTGCAGAGAATGAGCCACAGCATAGATTGCTTTGTAGATGTTACTGGAATATCTCAGCTCTGACACATCATCATCATATTCTTTTAATTCACTTACATCCTGGTTTTCTTTGCAAGCTGCCATTTCTGGCATGCTGTCCCCATTTGTGTCCCTGCACTGAAACTCTGTCTCCCAGAAATCTTTGATTAAAAAATTGTCCAGGCCACTGATATTGGCCTTTTGCACAGCAAAGCCTAGTGAACCTCCCAGCACACTAAAGCTGGTGGGGGTCACAAGGCTATCAGCAGTGATCCAGGCCTCCACACCAATGAACTGTCGTCCAGTTATGTTGTTCAGGCTCAATTGCTCTAAAAGGTTGTTCATTTCTACTTGAGCCAGAAAACCAACAATGACCCGGGCAGTGCTCTTTCTGATCACTTCTACCACTTTAATGAGTTTTTCTGGTTCTGCTCTGTGAAATTTCTCTGTATACTCCACATACACTCCTTCCTCTTGGGCTGCAGTGAGGAAGATGGCCATGCCATTGTTACCATAGTCACTGTCACTGTTGACTGCCCCAACCCAGGTCCAGCCAAAGTGCTTGACCAGCTGGGCGAGAGCACGACTTTGGTAGAGGTCGCTGGCAATTGTTCGAAAGAAAGAGGGATATTCCTTCCTGCTACTCAAACACTCACAAGTAGCTGAATGACTTATCTGATAATAAACAGAGTGAAACAGAATAAGGAGAGTTTGTACATGATATACAAATTGATACACACAAACATGTCTCTTATGGCAGCGCATATGCACGCAGCGGCCTGGGGCCCCTTGGCTCCAAACAAAATTTTGTTGTATGTGTCACAATGTTACAATGACAATAAAATAAAGTGTCTTCTTCTTTTACCACTGGTATATTGAATGGTCCAGTAGTGTGTGCCAGAACAATGGTTGAGGAAGATTCGGACTCCCCTATAACAACGTGTACAGCCGACTGACCAGAACAGCTCTTTCCCACAGCCCAGTCATCACTGTTCATCAGGGCCATCACCACACGCACTGATGATAATGTTGAACCACAGTTGTCATAAATACGGTATCCAATAGAAACATTGGGAAGAAGAAAGTCATTCTTGTTTATTTCTTCAATTGCAAAGATCATGGCCTGAGCAAATCGAAACTCCCTGAGGTTGACACTTGAGACAAAAGAACAGAACACGATCTTGCATTCAATGAGAAAAACCTCAGGAGAAGGAATTTTATACAATGCTCAAAATTACCCATAACATGTGAGACGTGTTGGTTTCTCTGTAAAGGAAAGTGGAGGCTGTTTGATATTGCTGTGGATGGAAAAGGCTCCCCCAATCATTACATCTCCATCTTTAGACAGCAGAGGGAACTCTGGCCTTCCCAGTATCTGGCAGACAGGACCATCCACCTCCACTGCTCCAAGTGCCAACAGGAGCCGCATGAAAAGCAGCCCTGTTATCATTGGTGACATTTTTGCTGGTCAAGGTCAAAGCACACTTAAAGTGGATGCAACTTTTTATAATGTTAGCTGATGACAAGGCTTACTATCCTCTAAGTAACCAATCAGAGATGAGGACAGGACAGAAGAGTCCTAACTGGGCCTTGCCATGAAATGATTGTATATGTAAAGTACATGACACTCAACAAAAGTCAAAAAAGGAGGTTGAGGTGTTTATACTGTAACTAAAATAAAAATCCAAAGCACAATAAGAGTGTGATGATTTGAACTAAATAAAATGAAACATCCCAGCGACCATGTTTTTGTACTTCATATTATTGTATGAAGCAATTACATCGCAGCAAATACAGTTACTAGTTAGGTTGTGTTTTATGTTCATTCTACACAAAACTTATAAAAAATAAACTGTATAACAAACAAAAATAGGAAAAATAATAGTTTCACAGTAAGCAACTGCAAAATGAAAATACATGCCAATACATCAATATCAGTAATCCACTGTAGTTTACATTACAGCAGTCTCTGTGCCAGCAGGTTATTACAACCAAGTTATATGTTGATCTTTAGCGACCTCTAGCAAGCATAGGAAATTATGACAGCTTCCATTTCCATGATGCTGGCAGTTGCAGGTATCCAGAGACTGTTTTGTTAATTTTATTAAAGATATTTATTTAGAATATTAGGAGTAAGGTCCATGAAAGTAATAAAAACTTGAAGCAGAAAAGATGCCTAAGCATTGATAAATAGAAAGAATTAGTTGAGCAGAATAAAAACATGGAGAAAAAGACTTATAGAATTTTAGGTGTTATTGAAATTGCTTTGAAATAAGGTGGAAAATGGCTATAAACAGTGAAAACATAGAAGTAATGGATTTATAAATTTGTACAGGTAAACATTTTTGTTGTTGTTCTTTCCTTTTTTTTTAAGATTTACACTATGTCATTTTTAATGTTTACTTAGCACCATTGTACATAAAACACTTCAAACATTATCATAAATGAGTTATGAACCCATAATGGCAATTGTTAATAAAGTAACAATAACTTAACAGAAAATGTTAAAGAAAATAATGACCACATGGTCATATAGGTTGGAGTACTTCAACTATGGATATTGAATTTCAATAAAATTGTAAACCCAAGACTTTCACTTTTAACAGAGCATATTTATAGAGGCATTTCAACTTGTAATTAGGTAAGGGATTTGTGATTCCATTAACTATAATTTACTGCTTAAGTCTTAAAATGCAGTGAAAAGGGGAGAGTCTTTAAAGCTTATGTAAAAAAAGACATGAAAAACATGAAAACAGGTGTACAGGGTCCATCCTGTTTATTTTTATTCAGCAAATAGTCACTTTTTTAACTACATTGTTTTTTTACATCAGTTTGTGTATGTGAACAGGTGCTAGGGCCTGCTGTGTGTGTGTGTGTTGTGCTCTACCCAGCAACCCAGGCCCTGTGTTAATTCTACACATATTGTTAATGGGAATGTTTAGCTTCTACTTTTTTGGAAAATGTAAATAACAACAACAACAATAATAATAATTATCAGTAAATTTCAAAATTAAATAATATAACAGAAGAAAGTTCTTCAGGCCCTTTTAGGCAAAGCAGGGACTGATGATGTATTAAAAGCCTTTATTTAGTCAGGCATATTAGTTAAACAGTTTTGATCTTACTTAGATTTGAAATGAAAATAATTCAAGTTTTGAATTGTGACTGTTTGTTGGACAACAATTTTTGAATGCATTCCCTTATTTCTTGTTGCGATGAATATAGAATGCTGTAGGGATGCCTTTTTTTAATAGGCCAACCCGGAAGTTAGCATCACCTGGTTCCCTTGACAAAAAGCCAGCTGGATGTTTTGATAGGCTTTTGTATTATTAAGCTCTCTGACAAACAATAGTTTATAACACTTACATGTTTTGTTCAGCAAGATAATCTTAACAAGTGAACACTACTTTTATTATTTTTTAACCCAAATATGATCACCAGCAGTAAAAAGCTATCATTAGGCCATAAACAAACTACGCTACAGATCCATGACTTCAGCGTCATCACCACAGCTTCCAACTTGTAATTTGATTTATAGCGTTTACCTCTTCAACAAAATCCTTTCCTCTTAGCATGACTTGCTCTAGCTAGGATCATGACTGTGTGCGAGTTTAAAAATAATGAGGCTGCAAAGGCAGAATAGTGAGTAGATAACAAGGTGATGTTTAATATCCCAGACACATCATCTCATAAATGAGTGTTTTAAGACATAAAAACATTACAAATAACAAGTGGTGGATTTACTGACACATTTTATTGTATAGAACAAAATGTGAAGATGTATTGGCCTTGTTTTAACCACAGACCTTATTTTAGGCGTCTAACCAAAAACCCATTGACTTCAGGGCGAGGGATCTCAGTTCCACATTTTAGGACTCAGTACTACAGCACTCTATTTGTATTGTATCTATATATTATTAAGACACCGTTTTATACTGTATATAAATAATATTTAATGCAGTGTTTCCCCACTGTTCCCCCACTCCAGTTAGGCCTATTTAAAAATCGTGTTGATTAAACAGATACAACAAGGGAGGATGATTATAAACTTCTCCAAATATGATGCTCTTTTGTGCAGTCTGTTCTTGACATACTGTGTGATTTTAATGGCTTTAGTTTATACCATTTATTATTGACACCTTTCATTCATAGTGCACTTTTAGTGCAGTCAGTAAATGGACGTGAGATATTTAATTCTATCACAAACATCAACACATACTGATTAGACGAGTTGAATTTATTAATGTAAGCTGATTTTCTTTTATTTTGTCAGTTTGTTCTTTTTTAAAAATATATAGTTGTACTGGCCATTAAGACTGTGGAAGCAACATAAACTATTTGTGAAAAAATATGTTTGTGTCTTTACACATCATCATCCACATACATCAATTAGTGTTAAATGATTATGGCAAGTTTCTCTTGTTTTGCTGTATGTGTCACATCACTGTTAGGAAATTCTGTAATTGGATAAGGGAATTAATTTTTTACTTTTGACAACTGATCAAAATAAACAATTCATCACACCTGATTAACAATGCATCAAACCGTGTGATTTTTAATTTGGTGTTATTGTTATCTTTCAGTCAAAGGGGTGATTAATAATGAAGTGACTGGCCTCTTAGGTCCTTTTTAATTAAAAATAAATTGTTGTTTGTGTGTTTGCAGGGATACAAGTTAGTTTAAGAAACATTTTGAGCTCTCTGGAGGCTTTGCCTTTTGGGAGCTGATTTAATAGGAACACATGGTGATGTGCAGGTGCCTCAGGCTTGATGATGACTTGCACCTCAAGCTTTTCCCACTCACAATTATTCTAATGAACTAGGAAACTCCCTCTAGAGTGTCTCCTTCACACCTGTTTCCTCAGCTTACACTAGAAACTCTAGGGCTGTTGCATCACAGGGCCCCTTAAGATCTCTAATGAAAAACATGAGGCCTTCGTTAACACTGTGCCCTGGGGGCAGAACTGTGTCACCATGATGTTGCCTTTTGAGCTTAGTAAACTTGAGTGAGAAACAAAGACACAACATTTAAGTTTACTTTTGTTCCTTTTCTTTTTAAAATCTGAATCTGAATACAATGTGCTGAACGGTAGACATAACACAGTTAGATGTCATGTTAGATCAGTTTCTCAAATACAGTGCAGGTTTGGCAGTAACCTCTCAGTGAATAACAGTGATCACAAAAAGTGATTTGTATAAGATCATTTTACTGCATTACACTTCCTTTCTAAAAAAAAAAAATAAATTGCATTGCATTTCGAAGACTAACAACTGTACATACAGGCATGACCAACTTCCACCGAGTGGGTCAGCACGAAGCACTTTCAACTCACAACCAGAACATCAAACCAAGAGCTAAGAAGAAAAAAGGCCGCAATCTTGTGGCCTTGGTGTTTGACTGTTTCCACTGTTGTATCCTGTTTTGCCCTGTGCATTAACATATTAATCATGATATACCTTTCCCTCTACGTGACATGGCCAAAATACTGCTGTTCTGTTACACCACTATAAAAATGCTGATCGTCTCTGCTGGGAAGACTGACCACTGGTTTTCACTTAGCTGAGGGGATTTTATCCCAACCAAAGCATTAGAGTTGAAGTGCACTGATGCTGGGCAATATGGCTGCAGTTCATGTCAGGGCTCTTTGCAGGCCAGACAAGGGCCTTTATTAGGAGGAAACTCAATTACATATAGTACAAATGAAAATGTGCATAACCCTCCAGGACTCACCTATAGGTCAGTTGTGACAACTTACCACTCTAATGGCAAAATTGCACCACTGTGTGCTGAGACTGACACTGTGTGCAAACTATTATTCAAGTGAAAAGTCAGAATACATAGACAAAAGTAATGGGTGCATAGTTGAAAAGTCCAGTGTCTGACACCCTTAGTGGTGGTATGACTGAAAACTTGACCAAACCTAATGGAAAAATGAATAAAACCTAATATAAAGGCTTTAGAATATGTGAATATCTGCCACAATGTAATTCAAATAATAAAGTACACACACAGACACACACACACACACTTGCCTCTGCAGTGTAGACTACTGTGTGGTGCTTACCATACCATGGGCAATGTTGCCATCTGCTGGCAATATTGTGCAATTACAGGAAAAACGGTGGCAATGATAAAGATGATGCTGGTACTGATTGTGATCATGATGAGTGACATTATTATCATCATTATAAAAACTGTTTATAAAGAGCACAAATAAAATAAAGATGAAGATATGTCAAAGAATGATCAAAATAATAAAAGATAATAGGACAAGACACACATGTTTCTGATATAGTTCTATATCAGTTTTAAAGCCTAACCAGAAGTAATAATGAGAGAGTAAGTTTGGGTTGATGTGATGTCCCCAGTTAAAACCAGAAGTGAACTTTGTTGTTCTACTGTCATATGGGAAAGGTTCTGCTGAAGAATAAACAGTATTTGGTGGAAAGCAGGTGAACA